AATATAATAATTTACTTATAGATCACTAGCATTCACCGTGCTTGTAGTCCACGATAAATCAAACTTTTAAACAAATAAACCCTAATTTTATTATAAATAATAAATTAACTATTTTATGAAAATTCAATGAATCAACTCAAGCATAGAATAACCAATTATTTGACTCGCAGGAAATCGCAAGCATTCCATGTACGCAACACAACAAATCAAAAAATTATACAAAGCAAAAAATTTATTAAAAGATAAGAATTAAATTAAAAGAATAAATCATGTATTAAAAATATTGGATAAAAAACAATATCATGCTTCATTGAAAGCTTCTCCCCCAACTTTAGAAAGACTTTTAACTAGCCATAAGCAAAATAAAATAAAACTAGAAGACAAAAGATGCCTACAATATAAAACTAAACTCATTTATACAAGTAATGGGATAGCAAAGACCTAATTAGCGTCAATAACATAAAGATCTGGACAAATTTCAAACACGCGTCCAGACATGTGGCTTCTATTATTCGGATGAGCATGAACATCTTGGCCTCCATGAAACACGCATTTGGACGCGTATGTTCTTCTATCCAGATGCACTTCTTCATTCGTTTTACAGCAGTTATTGGAATTTCCGTTCAAAAGTTTCTTGTTTGTTGTCTGGACGTGTTTAGCAGAATACTTCTTTTGCCTCCCCGTATTTTGGATCTCTTACTTTCCTTGTGTTTTGACCCTATTAATCATCAACTCAACTCATTTATCTACAAAACTGGACAACACTCCAAAAAGAAGATCATATCTAAAACTCAATTAAATCAATAAAATTATTTATTGTCCAATGTAATTAGCCAATTATAGCACAATATTCAAAGCTAATCACACTTGTTTGAGGAGGGCGATCATTTGGTTGAACTTTGAACAATTCGATCTTGAGTTACTCATCAACATTTGAGATAATGTAACTACAGCTATCTATATAGAGGTTTACGTGTCTTGTTCATAGTTATATGTTTTCCATTTTAGTTTGTGGATATAGTTGATTTACTGCAACGTCCGGAGCAGATCAAAGGATTAATGTTTCTTCTGTTTATCAAAACTCAAAAATACTTTAAGGAAGTTGTTGCTAGCGCTTTCCTCTTGCTGGATTCACTTAGATCACGCCTTGGTTGCTGCCTAACCTCCTATATTTGTGTGGTCATGATTATGGTTGTATTAATAATCAACTGTGTATGACAAGAATTCCAAAAAAATCTTGTGAATATTTGTTAATATGCTGATGTTGTATACGATATTTAGCTTCAGTCTTTCGTAGTCTTATTGAGCTTAATAATGTCGTAGACTGAAAATAAATGGCCTGTTGAAAATGGACAATTTTGCTTGAAAAGTTGAACACAATGGAATGATGATCAACATTTTATCTCAGCAGGGCTTTGTGTTTAGATTATCTTATAAGCTTCAAAATTTATTTCCCAGGAAGGTGAAACAATTTTCTTTTATTCCTTCAAAAGAAAGAGAAATATATGACGACCCTCTTTGGCATGTGTTGGATCTCACAACGGAAGTTTACTCGGGGATCTTGAGTATAATGTAGGAACAATGATCCTAAATTGTAACTTCTTGACTAGCCTTATTGGGTGAGTTCTTGTGATTACTACATATGGTATCAGAGTTGACCCATGCACATGACCATGTGGGTTCGGGGGCATTGTAGTGCAGGGTCGTGGTATTTGTGATTGATTGGCATAAAAGAGGGGAGAAGTGAGATGACCCGCGTGTATTGAATCTCATATCAAAATTCTACACAGGAATCTTGCGTGTAGAAACAATGACTCTAAATGACAACTTCTTGGCTAGCCCTTTTGGGTGAGTTTTTGTGGTTACTAGAAAATACATGTGAAGATTTTTGTTCAAAGGACAATGCTTGATGAGGTGAAATGGTCCAATTGGATCGAATGTACGTAGTTGTAATTTTCTCTTCTCCATCTTTAGGGTTGTGTTGGATTATACAAATTTTGCCTTATGCTGTATTTCCAATCCAAAATTATGGTGTCCTGCAGAGTCATAGGCTTAAAGTTAATGGTTCTTTGCCCCCTTTGGTGAGCCATTTAAAGTTGACAACAGCAGAAGATTATGGATATGATCAGCTATACCACCATCTCTTATGCTCCAACGTCCATTATATTATATGTACACCCATACAACAGTGGTTTTTGGTGGGTTTGGTTTGGGGTGGGTGGGTGCCTTAACTAATGTTGCTGACTAACAATAACAATCAGACCTTAGGGATGAATGTTGAAAAGTGGTCCCTCAATAACATGAACATACTAGATTGAGCTCTAGTATTAGATTCCCTCAATGCTAGATCATCCTACTTAATCCAAATCATGAATGTTGTGGGTGCAAAACAATAACTTTGGATTGAAGGTATGTAATCTGGCACCCGCCCCAGTGGGGGGTTTAGGAAAATCCAACACAAGAATGGATACTAATCCAATGGAACAAGCCTTTTTTTTTTTTTTTTTTCTAGGATTTCCAATTGATAAAACCATTTTTGAGACTATTTTTTTTTCAAAGAAGTAATCTTGCTGCTGCAGAAATGCTCTAAAGCGAGTTTCGAGGGTAGTCAAACAGAGTGTGTAGTTTCAATAATGTAGACTAGTGATGTGCACAACTAGCCTAATTATTATTATACCAGTACAACACATTAGACTAGTGGGTAGTCTGCACATTCAAGCTAATTCAGAAACAAAAAACATTAGATTTCAACCTGTGAAATGATATCACAGTAGACTTGCATGCTATAAATTCTTGCATTCCCTTGACAAATTAAAAGTCAAGAGTGGACACAAGATATGGTTGGTGAACGAAAATTTTGCTTCACACCCTTTATATCCACTAATTCTGTTTGAAGTCATGATGATTCGGCATGCGAATCTAATAATATTCAAAGGGACGGTAGGTTGGATAAGAAATGAAAAACAAAATTTAGTAACTTCATGGAGTTTTAGATCAAATTATTATCTTTTTAAAACTTTATTTCATATACACTACCATTTGTAACATATTTCTCAACTTACCGATGTTTTACATGAAAACTATACAGGGCGGAGCCAGGTAATCATTTATGGTTGGGTACTTTAACAAGTTAATTTTTTTTTTTTTTCAAATCGATTAAACGCATATGACATGTTAATATTTATTGACATCTTATTCGATACTTAACAATTCGTAAAACAGCAAAGACTGAAGATATATGTGTATATATGTGTGTGTGTGTGTATATATATATATATATTTTAAACATCAAAGACTATATATAAGCAAAAAATAAAAAAAAAAGACTAATTTTAACCCTTTACAAAAAAATAAATTAATAATACCCATTTACGATTGATCAAATTATTTTTCATATTTTTAAACTGTTGCATCATAACCCTATTGTCAATATCATCTAAAATACATTTTTATGTGGGCATAACTATCTATATAATAAAACAGGATTGTATTTAAATTTTATTCTAATCATATTTTTCCCCTCCAAACTATCGTCAATTACTTACCTCACTCATCATCCTTTTGTCAGGCTTAAACGTCAAATTGAAGCATTATTTCTATCATATGTTTAATTATTTATATATTTCTTTTCAAAAAATATTACATCATTCATTTCTATCACATATTTAATCATTTAATATTTGATTAATTTGTAGTTAATATATTTTGATAAAAATTAATATAATAAGATCAATTTTTTGGACGTTTAAATTTTATATTTTATCGTGTCTTCATGCACGGGTCATAACTAGTTATACTATAACCTGAATGTTTGTACAATACCAGAATAATCTCATAATTTATTTTCTAAAAATTACAAGATCACCTCAATGTATCCAAAATTTATTCGAATGTTTTAGAAACTTGTCAAAAAATTTATAGGCATTTATGTAAGAATGTGATAATTGGTATAAATAGTGTGTGCATAATTAATAATACTTTAATTTTTTTATGAAATTTATAATTTAAAAATTTTAAGGAAAAAAGTTTGAGGGTGGATACGGACACAATACTTTACTGACTTTGCTAATGGAACTATATGTAAAACACATTTTTAATAAGAGAATTTTAAAACGTGTTTTGTAAATACACTTTCATTAATTTTTTGTTGTTATTTTGTCTACTTGTCCATTCAAAAGTTTACATAAAACTATTCAAACCTACATTTTCTATCTTCAACTAAGACAAGGCTTGTCCCCTGTCGACAAATCAACATTTTTGGAATAGGAGGTCCACATAAACTTCCTTTTAAAATTGTATGTCTGGGTTGTTTGAACTTAAGGTCAAAGATCATCGCGCCAATTTGGGTCTAAATCAGTTACCATATTGAGAATAATGTGACCAAGAGTAGGCCATGTTAATTTGCATAATTGCATGGGTTGATTTAGTGGTCGAATAAGAGACGACGATGTGCAGACCCGCATTGACATTTCGAGTTCTAGTCTTTTTGAATGTGAAACACTAAAGGTTAACTTAAACATGTAGTTTATGGCTGAATACGTATATTCAATATTTACGTAATATCTATAAGTATAAATAATGAATGATTGAAACTTTTCGCTCGTAAAAAAAATTTATTACATTTTTCGCATGAATTTAAATAATGATTTAGTTCTGATTGCACGATTTTCTATCATACGACAAATTGAGTCATACTTAACGTGGTTGAATTTTGGTCCAAATTCTGGCCCCAAAAAAATATATATATTGGTCCAAATTTGATCCCGAATCGTCCTATTTTTTGTCCTGGTCATATTTTTGTTCTTTCCAAACCCCACAAAAGGCCAAAAACTTGTAAATTTACATGAGACCAAAACTTCTTCCAAACAGCCAACCCAAACCCACATGTAGTTCAACCTAATGACATCTTTATCAAATATATATAATACAAAAGTTTTATAGAGTACTTCTCTTCATTAGCCAAAACCCTCTTGTCTGTAATTCTAAAGTTAAGATCAAGTATGAGTACTCTCTCAGAAGCCTATGCAGACAGTCCTCTCCACCTTCAACATATCATACCTATGGACTTTGAATCTGTCCAAACAGTCCCTGACTCTCACTCATGGCCTCAGATCACCGATTTCCCACCTGCAGTTCGCTCCGATGAAGAATTAACGATTCCGATCATCGATTTGACTGCTCCCCACGTGGTGGAACTCGTCGGAGACGCATGTCGGACGTGGGGAATGTTTCAGGTCACCGGCCACGGAGTTCCGTCGATCCTTTTGGAGGATGTTGAGTCTGAGGCACGACGACTTTTTGAGCTACCTGCTCGGCAGAAGATAAAGGCGTTGCGTTCGCCAGGTGGTGCCACCGGTTATGGCGCTGCTCGGATAGCTCCGTTTTTCTCCAAGAATATGTGGCATGAAGGGTTCACCATCATGGGTTCTTCAGTTGATCATGCTAGAGAGTTATGGCCTCATGATTATAAACGTTTCTGGTAAGTCCATACTCTTCCATGCACGTAATTAGAGGCTAGAGCTAGACCTACTACTAAATTAAGGCTATTCCTTCATGAAGCATATTAGGGTTTCTGTTTAGAAGAATTTCTAGTACATTATTACTTCATATGCCTAGTTGGATTGGTATTTTTAGGGGCCAATACAGCTCTTTTGGACATCTCCTAGAAGGTGGTGCTTTCTTCTGCTATCTAATCTCACGAAGATGTTAAAACTATTTAAAAAGGTGTAATCCTATTCAGGCTTATAAATTTGATCTAATTTATAGACATATTGATGTAGTTTTATTAAAATAATTGGATCAACACTGAGTTACAATATTTGATGAGACCCACAATCAATCCAAATATCATAATAAATTAGGTCTCAATAACGTTACTCCTATCATCTAAGTAAGCAATAAGCATACCCATATTAATTTTTTTAACAATTTGTTGACCATATAATTGATGCAAACTCCTTTGAAGAAGGCAATATTCTTCAGTGTTTTCAATATTTTTCCAAATACAAATTGATGTAGAATGACAAACCGGACATAAAACACGATAATTCAGTGTACAAGATTCTCCTCACTTTGAAGATTATCTTGAGAGTAGGAAGATTGTTTAAATGACTCAAACCCATCATGTCAAAACCGCAAAAAATTGCCTCGCCAAGGCCTACCTAAATCACAATATAAATTTATTAGGCGTAACTATTACACCGTGTCAGTAATGGTACATTAAATGAACCTCATTTGATCTATTTTATAATTTTTTATTAAATAGTTACACCCAATATTTACTCCCAAATCACAATATAAACCAACAAGTGCATGATAATTTGACAGTGGCAGAGGAAAAATTAATGTGTACCAAATGCCATATTTGATTAGCCTTTCTGACTTATTATGCTCCTCCTCTTGAGAATCTATAAAAGTATCAAACTTCATCAAGTTATTTGAAGGACATTTGGTACAATATATGTCTAATTAGAAATAATCCTATGTTGAAATTGCTTCAAAACATCACCCTACTATAATTATTGACTCATGCACTGTTACACTGTTGTTGTGTCCACATATACTAGTGATGCAATGGATGATTATCAAAAGAAGATGAAAGTTCTATCATACAAACTCTGGCTACTAATCCTCAAATCCTTGGATATAACCGAAGAACAGGTGAACTGGTCATCTTCTGATGGTGCACTCCAACTAAACTCGTACCCTTGCTGCCCAGATCCAAATCGAGCCATCGGTCTAGCCCCTCACACAGACACACTGCTCCTCACCATCCTCCACCAAAGCAACAGCAATGGCCTCCAAATCTTCCGAGATGGAGTCGGGTGGGTTTCGGTGTCTCCTCTCTCCGGTGCACTTGTAGTTAACGCCGGAGATCTTCTCCATATCGTGTCGAATGGTCGGTTTTCAACTGCTTATCATCGGGTGATGGCAAACCAGGCCTGCCATCGAGTGTCCATCGCCTACTTCTATGGCCCCCCGGCTGAGTCCCTGATGGTGCCGGTTTGTGAGACGCAGTTTCCACTTTATCGTTCTTTGACAGTGAAAGAGTACATTAGTATCAAAGCCAAGCACCTTGAGAAGGCACTTTTATTGATTAGAATATAGTCCATCATCGGGTGTTGAAGACAGAATTTGTGGAACATTTTAGCAAGCCTTAGGTTACATGATCTTGAACTAATTATGAATAACAATATGAACTAGATGGCTTCAAATTAAGTTACTCTTTTGAGATAGCTATGGTATTGTTTGGTACTTTTTTTTGAAAAAAAAAATATATATTTTTTCAAATTACTAGATTTTTATATTTCATTTTTTTTTTCTATTTTTTGGCTCATTTTATTTCAAATTATGGACACGTATATAAAACAATTATATCATTATTAGGATCTAAGACTTTGACTGAATGGTGTGATAGGTGGTATGCTCATTATAATTAGTCTAACTGTCCTAATTATTTAGTTGATTCATGTACTGTATTTGTTGCCCTTGGACAACAATGGATGTCGACCAATATTGGAGTATGTTGTCAATCCAGTTATGATAAATGAGATCAAGTTATCAAATTAATTCAATAAATTAGATTATTCTAATATCACTCTAAATGGTTATATATGTACTAGCACTAACAATAATCTCGTGTTTGAAAATATTTTACAATACTAAAAAGTGAAAATTAATCGTGCAATATTTATATTTTAAACAAAAATTTCTTTATTTTATTTTCTTTAAGAAGAGAAAATAAGAGGTTTGGAGAGAGAAGGGAGAGGTAGATATAGATTAATTGATTTGTTTGACGTTGAGAGTGTCTAGATTAAATTATCAAACATTGAGGGTCACATAGATAAATTTATATTTTTGAATTCAAATAAAAAAACTTTGGAATGAATTTTTGACTCGACATTAGGAACTCGCCAATCATTGGGTGACACGTGTCCAAGCATTGTAGTCTTGGGCCTGTTTGAGCTGAGGCCGAGGGGAAACCGAGCCGAGTTAACATAGCTAATGTTGGCTCCATCTTAATTGACATGGGGGCACGGCCCTCGTACAGTGAGCAGAAGTGGCAGGTTAGTCAGTGTGATCCCATCGAAGAGAGCTTTTGACCGTCAGATAGGCGAGGCATAGCCCTTGATTGAATTAGGAGGTCCTCAAGAAGTGCCTTAAATGCTCGGCGATAGTCCGTGGGTATTTTACGGTAGAGTATTTGATGTCCGGAACCATTGGATGCCTACGGGGGCACAAAGCAATGACAATCATAGATCGTAGGCTCACACACCTAGGGATTATACTCAAGTCTTGCCACGTCGCCGTATTTGAAATTATAAATACCCCGTTGAATCACAACACAAGTATGCAAAAAAGAATTACTTGACTCTATACACTTTCCTCTCAAACTTACTTCGCCGACTAACTTAAGCTTTTAAAGGGATAAGCCTGGTGAATATTTGTCTCTTTCTTACTTTTTTGTTTCAGGAATTTTTTCACTATCTCAATCTATTGCAGAACAACACCCGTTTTAATTTTATATCATTGAATCAAAATAAATAAAAATTAGATCAATTATAATCGTTTTTGAGTTTTTATAATTCAAAAAATTCTACTCAATAACTGTATTATTAGTAGATGATGGGAGAGGGGGTGTATATCTCATAATTATATAATGAATATGGTCGTTGAAGACAGCAAAGTCTCAAGATGGGAAAGGAAAAAAATAAATTAAGGTAGGGTCCACATTGGTGTAGAAAATTGTCGGCCAAAACTAACTTAAAACTATGTCGGCATGTTGTTTAAGGGTCTTTCTTAAATCCATATGTAAGTGGAAAAGAATATACAGACGATTACTTTTTGAAATCCAATAAACTTGTTTTACCGACCTCCAAATATTTGATACTATTATGTCATCACATTACAGTATTATCAACAAATTTATTGTGAATTCCGATAAATATTGGAGCTTATTATCAATTCAATGATTATAAACGATTAAATTAACAAATAAGGTCATAAATTAGATTTAAATAGCATTTCTCCACTTTTATACATGTGATAATTATTACATTACAAAAACAAATAATTATTTAATTGTGTAAAATCTATTTATCTATTTGTTGTCTTATTATTAAACCGTTATATCATGTTACAACAATGATATAACTTAGCTGTGATACTCAATATTTTCTAATATTATGGACATGCACAAGCTAGCATCATCATATACCTTAAGCACTCATGCACAAAACCTACTAATCAATCGATTTCTAGAGAGAGATATTTTGGAGGATAGAGAGGGACGAATTTTCAAATAATTTTTTTGTATTTATATCTGTGGGGTTGGGCTATTTCTATCCCATTAAAATTTTTAAGGAATTTTGTAGGTCGGTACACATAATATAACTTATTGGACTAAGAGTTCATTGAGCAAAATATTTGGTGTAAAAGTCTTTCCTGAATTTGAAAAACTAATATACCCCTCATTTAATTGGTATGAAATTCCTCACTTGTATTAGGAAACCGTCCACTATATCTACGGTTTTCGATTTCAAAGATCTTCACGTCTCCACCAAAAGTGGTTGACATTTGTAAGATTCAAGGAAATGCTATTAAATTCAAAAAAAAAAAAAANTAGCAGGGGGTAAAGGAACAAGATCCCAAGTCTCATTGTAATGTAAGACATCCATCTTCTCCTCCATAGCTTTCCTCTAACTCGGATCAGATAATGCATCATGTAAATTCTTAGAAATAGATATAGTAGATAATTAGGAGGTAAAACAAGAGAAGATAGGAAACAAGGCATCATATGAAACAAAATGAGCAATGGGATGATTAGTAACACACGAACGAGTACCTTTTCGAAGAGCAATAGGTAAAGAGTCTAAATTACCTGATGTACTAGGATCAGAAGACGGCAAGGAAGACGGTACGGACACCTCAGTCAATAGGCGAGGACGACGAGAGTAGACACAGAAAGGTAAAGTAGATGGTAACACAATGGGCAGCTGAATATCTGAAGATAAGGAAAAAGATGGTGGTACAGGAGATGATCCATAGTCCAGATCCAAAGGCTAAGCAGGCGCTAGAAAATATGGAACAGATTCCTCAAACGTGACATCGACACTAGTAAAGTANTATCTTTGTAAAAATTGTTTGCTTTGCATAGCAATACGAATGTTTGAAATTAATCGGTTTTGTTTTTCATCAACTTCCTTCTCTAACAATATCAACGAAAGACGTGAAGTTAGTATGCCTATTATCTCCAAAAATAGGATTGCTTTTTTAATATTATTGTCTTGTTAAAACCCTAAAAAATTATGAGATAAAATCCTTAATATGTAACAAAAATTCTATGAAAAATGAGTTTCACAATGTGACATTAAGATATTGTGGATGTAAAAGGGTGTGAAATCAATGTATGATTGTATATACACAACATACTATCCTTGACAGTGTGACATCAAGCAGTTGGCTTTGACACTATACTGTTTGTCGTACTGTGTTACAACGTTGTATGATTGTTTGCATACACAAAATATTTTGCTTCACACTGTGTGACAACATAGAGTCATATTAAATCTAGTTGGCCAAGACACTACTCTGTTTGTCACGCTATTCAAAAGAACAAGTCGTTACATTAACTTAAAACATATATAATCAAACCTGATGTGAAGTAGAAGAAGAACACCGGACGTTGAAGTATAAGAAGATATACATTTTGAAGTGACCAATCCGAGCTTCTGAGCTTCTAAGCTCTTGAGGTTTAGATTACTGGTTCAATCAAAAGAGAATGGATAGACAAAGAATTTATAGTGGCTCACCAACTCAAAAGCTTGACTAATCCACTCTAATGAAATTTCTTGCTCTTAGGGATTTGTCTATTAATTAGGGAAAAAGGATTATACACAGTAGATACATTGATATTTTCTTGATTACAAATGCAAGGGACTTGACCCCTATTTATAGTGTACATTTGTCTTGCATGATTGTCTTGTGTGATCTCTGCGATCCTTTTGTAACCGATGTCATCCTAACATAATTAATGTGATTCCCTTTTAAGTAGTTGCGACCTATGTGTCAGAATATTTGGCAGGTATGAGTTACATTCCCTAGGCGTGATGTAGCCTTCTAGAGAGTGCCAGCTGTTCCAATCATCGTTGAAGATTTCCTCGAGCTGCGGTGTCTGAGCTTATATTTCCGAGTTAGGGGGTCCGAGTTTAATCTTAGCTAATTTTTATTATATCACGTTTAAAATTCAAATATCTTGATCTATTAAAAAAGGAAACTGTTGATACCATAAAACAAATCCCATGAAAAATGGAATGGTCAAACTAAACAGTATAGGCTTGTTTAGTTGTCGTATTAGAAATTGATATATTAGATAAAGTAATATAGCCTAATACAATACAAATGGATAAAAAATAAGATTAAATAGGGTATTAGAATAAGAAGTAATTTTATCTAACGTTTGGTTACACACAACATAAGCATTGGATATTAGTTATTTAATCCAATCAATTGTTTGGTTAGAACATTATTTCATGGTATTAATGTTGAATTAACAAAAATACCCTAAATTAATGTTTGTTACTTTAATGACAACTTAATTTTATCAATTATGAGATTATAATAGTAAATGTGTACAATAATATATTTGAGATGTATTATAATACCACATCTCTTGGTGGTATTAAAATACCTCTATAATACATGTCTATTGTATTAAAAATGTATGATTAGTATACGTTTTTTAAATTATTATGGAATTTCCCTCCCCCTCCAATATTTTTTTTTAAATTAATACATAATCAAATTTATCTACTAAACCAAGTATTAAGTTTGATTAAATAAATAATAATAAAATATAATATTTAATTCACTTGTAATACGTCACCAAACAAGCCTTATATGAATTTTGGAAAAATGTATTTTAATAAAGAAAATATTTTAAAAATTGTATATGTATCTAGACATAAGACATTTTCAATTAGAAGTACTTATCTACAATAGAGTTTCGACCAAGTATTTTTCCACAAATAAGTAATTTATATGATAACTATCCACAATTTTTCAAAATTTATATTATTAAACTACTAAGCCCACCCCTTAGTTCATAC